TTTTGTGGTGGTCTAATACATAAAAGTATAGAGAACAATCTTTTATTTTTGGGTGGATTATCTAAATAAGTGGTCCTCCTAACTGTCAATCATTCTGGTGATATGTTTACGTAAGGCCCTCCTTCGCGTTCGTCCTGTATCTTTTTCTGCACATATGCACTTTCAGGTATATATGTGTGGTGAGCTACGGTTTAAGACTGTCATTGAAGCTCACCTTTCTCACTGCCGTTCTTTGAAAATGGCTGAGGGTCTAAAGAGAAAAAGTGTCTAGGGAGTGTATGCTGCTGTTGCCATAGGCTGCCGCTATCTGACAGCGGTGACTAATATCAAAGATGGCGCAGGCACCACGCAATGGAGGAGGAGTAATGTGACCAACGGGGACCAGAAAGCAGTGACCACTGCCGCAGTGAAATCAAATGGTCAGTTAACTGGTTCTCCTGGAGGTTTCTTCCTGTTTCCTGAGAGGAAAAAGGGAGTTTTTCCTCTCTAATGTCGCTACAAGCATGCTTAGTGTGAGGGATTGCCTTTGAGTCAATGAGTGCAATCAACTGGTTTTCCTTAGATAGAAAACTTTGAATCAATCTCACTGTATAATCTGAGATAAGAAACTTGAGATGAAATGTGTTGTGAATTGGTGCTATATAAATAAACTGAATTGAATTATCTGAGTTCGCTATAAAGTCCACTGTATAGTCCCTGCTCTATATAGTAATTGAGGCATTTACTGTAGGGCTTAGGGCGGATGATCGGACACAATATGCTTGTAGGAGCTATGAGAACAGCAACTTTTAAACAGAGCATGCACAAGGAGAAATGGGCTTAGGCATGCTCTCGAACAAGTTTAATAGGATGTGCATGTGCATATTTATTAATTTTTTTAATTGGAGAAGGCGGGATTTGCGAAAATCTTCCACAATACCTTTAAATTATGATATTTAAGGTACCACTTTAAAATAAGGCTTCTCTTATAGCTAAGGAAATAAACAGTTTCTAGATATGTTAATTGATCCATAAATACTTATAACATACGTTTTACAATGCATTAATAAGGGCAAGAAAAAAACAAAAATAATAATTATTTTCCCAATGGTGTACCTAAGCTGTTCAGCCATGTATTCAATCTAGCACTGATTATATTAGACATTACAAACAACATTACAACCTCATAAGCAAAATAAGAATTTGCAAACATAATTTTAGCATGCATACACAAAATGCATAATAAACAACTATGAAGGAGTTATGAAGTTTTTTTTAAATCAATTAATGATATCTCTATGAACTATCTATAAGCCAACTAAGGGGCGAGTTTTACATAAATAACCTTACATGTTGTATAAATAAAACTTCCCAAATTAGCATTATCTGTTGAAGTTTGAAATTAACTAAATGGGCCTTGCACAACTAGGATGTTATTTTTTCCCACTTATACATGTCCTATACACTACTTTCATATCGTCTCAAATGTGTTTCTTTTTTATTGTTGTGAGATGTCCACAGTTGAAAACAGTTTTTACAGTTAAGGAGAGGTCTTTACACAGGAACTGGTTATGTAGCGGCTGTGACGTCTGGCTGAAAGCAGCTGTGTTCTTTTTTTAGGGATTACGGCTTGTAAATTCATGAGATGCAAAAAAAAAAAAAAGAAAAAATCCAGTGCCATGCTATTAATCCAGTGTACCCACCATTCAGTTCTCAGCATGCTTATCTGTCCCTGCTTCCTCTTCAACCCTGGCATGCCGCCCCTCCCTTTGCAGTGGCAGTTCTGGTCCAATCCCGAGTAGAGGATCACATTTCTTGGCAGGGTGGAAGGGGTCAGCATTGGGTTTGGGTTGCAGGACAGCTGTGAGGCAGCAGATCAGTAGTAAAAGAAAACCAAAATATGCACATGGCATTAGAAATCATTCCTCTCAATGTGAATGATAATAATGTTATTGCCTTCCAACTCTTAGTTAGTGTGGATTTATATATTTGAAGATTACATTTTTTTGGGGGGGAAATTTTCTACTTTTTTCTCCTCAAAAGCACTGCAGCAGCTGGCTGCTAATACCATATCAGCTGTTCATTCTGAGAACCCCCCAGAATATGCAGGAATACAAAACCAGTGGTATGTGCACAAAGTTAAAGGGGAACGCCGTTTTTTTTTTACATTGAGCCCTTGATTTGACGTTATTACATCATGTTCTACTCACCCATATGAGTTTTGTGTCATTTGGAGCCGTTCTGGAGATATTCCGTTCGGTTATACCCAAGTAATGTCTTCCTATGGGCAACAACTTAAAGGCACAAACTGAACTGTTCATAATTTATTCTTTATGGTACGCCAGCATTAAAAACATGTAGGTGAATCACTGTCCCCCTGACATCCGCGGTTATATTTTTTATATTTATATGTTTTAAAAACAAAGCGGAGTGTGTATGATGTCATCCGTGCATGCGGACTGGAGTTGTAACAGGAAGCCCGGGCCACAGGCGGCGACGCTCTACCCCTTCTATTCATTTGGCTAGCTAATTTGAATCGTTCAATTCCATTTCGAGAGCGAGATCATCTGTGGTAGTAGCACTAGACATCTTCCAGGCATGTGAGTAAAACTAGCCGCAGTTCAGCGGACAGGAAGAATGAATGGTAGCCGGCACGCGCAGATGATGTCATACACACTCCGCTTTGTTTTTAAAACATATAAATATAAAAAATATAACCGCGGATGTCTGGGGGACAGTAATTCGCCTACATGTTATGAATGCTGGCGTACCATAAAGAATAAATTATGAACAATTAAGTTTGTGCCTTCAAGTCGTTGTCCATAGAAGACGTTACTTGGTTATAACGTAACGGAATATCTTCAGAACGGCTCCAAATGACAGAAAACTCATATGGGTGAGTAGAACATGATTTAATAACATAAAATCAAGGACCCAATGTAAAAAAAAAAAAAAAAAATGTGTTCCCCTTTAAAGTCCCTTGCAAAAGTTCTCATACCCCTTTAAACTTTTCTTAGTTTTCTAAAATTGCAAACACAGATAATATTGCTTTTTATGTGATAAACCAACACAGGGTAAATCATAAAATAGAAATTAGACATATCCAGAAGTTCAGATAATACTCTGCCTCTAAAAAGACATTTTCAATTGGATTTTAATATCAAGTCATTGAAACTCCTATAATATTGATTTGGTCATTTCAGGACTAGAAGAGGTTTTTAGTTTGAGCTCTTTTGGTGGAAATAAGACCAACATCAGATACACTAAAAACAGAAACAATTCTGCAGCTACAGACCCCCACCCCCATTACTTTACAGTAGCTTTTACCAGGATGATTGCCACTGATTGAATGATCACCTTCACTAAAGAGCAACTCATACACGCCAGACAAGAGACAGACTGATACATCAGCAAGCCGATAATTTTGGCCGATGTTAGTGTTTTTTTTCTTCTATCGGCCAACATGAGCATACTTTGGTAGATCCATCAGTCCATCCACAGCTCTCCTTAAGATCGTGGCAGGCACATGCACTGTTGCTCAGTCCATTTGCTTTCCATTGTTTATAGGTTTTCCTCAAATTGTTCATGTTTCTTTCTCTTTTAAATTGAGAATTTTGTAATCATGGTGTTATTTTTATCATATAAAGAGAAAGCAATCATCCTTAAAAAAATTATATATGAATCTGTGATGGGTTAGAATGATACAAAAATAATCGATATTAACATATTCTTGAGACATTTTTTCTCTATTTATTACTGCTCCCAACTTCACCTACTGTTGCTCTTGGTGGTGGGGATTCTACCTTTACATAAACAAAGGCTGCTGAGGTGATGTCACAGTGTTACATAAGACATGTAGATCTCACCTGATGTCCTTTTCCTTAAAACTGTAGAAGCTAAAAGATACATGTCATGCAGTTCTCCAGGCAGGTCACTGTCTGCTTCATCTCAACCTAACTCACAGGCAAAAAAAAAAACTTTAGAAGGAAGTGGAAGGATGAGCCAAACCAGGCCTGGTTTTACAGCACAGATTTGAGGGTGTTTATAAGTCCGTCAACTGAACCAGATGAGCAGGCCAAGATATTAAGCAGATACAACAAAAAACCATAGGTCGCTTCACTTACAACAGTGAGTTCTGGGAACTGTAGCAGACCAATAACAAACTACAAAAAGAAACTTGAAAAACAGCTAAAAATGGATGGATGGACAGCCTCTACAGTAAGGTTTAAAAAGCAACTATTCACATCAGCAAGGCTGCATCGCACTGGAACACAAAAGCTCCCTATGCACTAAAATCCTGCACTTGTTAGTTAGCGTCCCGGTTTACAGGTTACAGCAGGTCAGAGTGGGAGGATCGGGAATCTTCACAGTTATGTCAGATTGGGAAGCATCTTTCATTTCTCAAATTCCACATTAATTAGCATCGGCTCCACCCAGTGGATTGTTTTCTTCCATCTCCTTTTTGCACAAATAACCCAACCTCAGCTGACCTGTCAATGAACTGTCTCTGCTCTGATACAGTACAATGACAAATCCTGATCCAAACAGGTAGTAGAATGGGAGGTAATCTGGTTTGGTAAGAACTGTCCAAATATAAAAATAGCAAAAACTTTATTCTTATTTTTTTCATGGAAAGTTAAAATGTCTCCAACGTTCACCTAAAGTCGTCTAAACATTCGCTTGGTAGCTGTGATTGAAGTCTCTCCAGACTGTGAAGATGACAGTGGAGCTCAGGAGAACACCCACCACCCTGCCTCGCCTCACCATCCTTAACAACCCTGTGGATCACAATAAAATCGTTTTGCCAAATGTTATAAATGATTGAATTGTTGGTGGGTCAGTCTTGGTGTCTACACCAAGACTGACCCACCAAGTCTACACCAAGACTGGTCTGCAGAGGAATGTCCATGGAGGGACACACAGACCGCTTGAGGATAAACAGTGGCAGCCTGATTCTCATTAGGTGTGGAGATGAAATCCTAAGGACCTTTGTTGCATCCTTCAATGTTGCAGTTGGTGCTGCGTTACACCTGGTGTGGGATAATGTCTGGCTTCGTTTTGCAAGTGTACAGAGGAAGTACCTGGAGAATGAAGTGCTTACCTCATTGGTTCCCTGACTTAAAGTAAGTCCGGTCAGCAAGGGATAATCAGTTGATCATTTTCTATACCTAAAACTAATATGTTCGCGGTGATTTAATGAATTTAAGATTAATCAGTAAAAAAACTAGAAAAATAATTTTTGTTGCAATCACCTTCCGCTTTACAAGCTACAAGCACATCTGCTATCAAAAACAATTGTTTAAGATTTCCAGAGGACTTCACCACTGAAATACGCGAGAGCTATAGTTAAAGCAACAATGCCCACATGCATGGCAGTTGGATTTTGTAATACATTGGGTAAAAGTGAAAAAAAAAGAGTTATTTCACCTTTCAGATTCATGATCCTCCACGGACGGGTTTATTGTTGTGTTGCCAACTTGAAGAGGGAGGATTAACCATCGAACTTCCGGCCAGAGAAAATACACGTAATATGTAGCCAACATTTAGAAGAAGAATGTTTTCAAGATGACTTTGTGACAAACACCAGATACAGCACTGGGACTTGATCAACAGCCGATACCGCACCGTGACGTCACAAACCAGTAGGTGGCGATAGTGTTCTTTGACAAACATGGATGCCTACAGTAAAGCACATTCAAATGAAAATTACTCTTCATTGAAAAATGTATCATTTATTGAACAGTATGTAATAGTTTCATATTTAAAATGCTTTCAGAGGTTTGAATTCTGAATATGATCTGACTTTTCCTTTAAGTCTAATAGAATATCTCCGTCTGTGACATGAAATTTAGGTCTATACAGTAACACAAGAATTCACCTCAGATAGCCAAGGAACTCAATTATGCCCTGATCAGGAACTTGAAAGACATAATTTAGGAATATCACTTTGATTTGCTTCAATACCATTTAGGCAAATTGGACTAACCTGCTGCATCAGTTTGTCTTTGTGACTCCAGATTAAGTCCTCTTTGGGTTGATGACTTTTCATTTTCATGCGATAGCAAAGATTTATTTTGTTTCCAATTGAGAACTGATGTGTTTTCAAGGTGGGATGGTGTTTTTAAACATCAACAACTGCAGTCTGCCACATATTCCTTAAAGAGCTCCCATACTTCTCATTGGAAAGCTGCTTTGTTCCCTTGTATTCCCCAGCGTGGGAATTTTTTTGCGACAGATAAATTATTGCTCTGTGTTAGAAAATGGTTTACGTTGCAGTTTTTTGTGAACAACTTTATAACCTAAACTCAATAGTTTCTATTTCTGGCGCTTATCAATTTCTAAATTCATTTAGTTCTGGCTGTCTGTTAAATATGCATAACCCAAACAATATTTGTGGTTTTAAAACTGCGGGGAATGTGATCTTCTCTCCCTTTCAATGTCTTTTGATAAATTGAGACTTTCACTGCAAAAAATTTAAATCTAAATAAGTATTTTTTTTCTTAAAGTATGATAATTTTTTCTTTAATTGAGGAGGTGAGACACTTTGCCAATGGAGCAAAGTGTGCTGGTGAGGATTCTCAGTCATCCAGGTCATAGTCATTCCAAAAAAGTTAAAAACAAACAAACAAATAGCAATTAGGGTCATGTTGGCCTGGCTGACCAGGCGAGATGCCCATGCAGGGGACCAAGACATCTGACCTGGTCAGCCAGAGCAAACAATGACCCTAATTACTCCCCTTTTCAGAGGCATAGGCCAGTATTGAGTATTGCAGGCTAACAAATACCTCAATGACTCTCCATTACTAAGGGATGGACATGTTCTTCCAGTTCAATCTGCATGTTTTCTAAGCCATAACAAGGCTTTGTTGGGCAACTTTAAAAAGCTTTTTACTCCACACTATTCCAGACCTTTTGAATTGAAAAAGTATCCTGGATCGGAAACAAAATGTCTTCAAACTTGGTAAACAATGTCTAGTGGTTTTTTTTTTCTTTTTAACCTTTTTGGAATTCTAAAGGAACAAGACAATTTACATTTGAAATAAGAAAAAACAATTGCATTGTCTAATTTCAAGTGCATTTTACCAAATTGAGTAAAAATACTTGCTCAATTACCAAAAATGTTATTTAAATACTCAAATTAAAGGAAAATGCATTTAATTTAAGATTTGTTTTTACTTATTTCGAAAAAGTTTTTGCAGATCACTGTTCCTCTGATCTCTGAACTCTGATCTTCACCACTACAGGAGACGACTGTGATCAGAATGTACCACCTCGATTCCAGAGACGCAGAGCTCCTCTGGCTCCCACCGACACTCCAAAGCTGTGAAGGCAGCTTCTTCTGGACACACCACGGTATCTTCAGTACAGCAGAGGGAACCAGACTGCTGCTCACACTGTCTCCTCTCTGCTCTTCGGCCCCAAACTTATGGAACATGTTGTCTGTGTTGTTAAACTTTGCTGAATGATACTGCAAGCACTGTTACCTAAATAGCAAATTCACCTTTTACCAAAATGTACACCTATTGATGCACTACCCCTTTTTTCCAAATATGATATGCCACTAAACTTTATTGGTACTGGATAATTAGTTTAAAGGTTTTTTGGGTGGCTTTAGATATAGTTAAAACCAGATATTTATACACATTTTATAGAAAGTTGTTCTTCCCTCACTGTTAATAAGTCAGACTGATCTTTGCTTTTTACATCAGTTACAATCATTAGATCATTTCAGTTTGGTTAGTCCAGAGACATTTCTGATTTCTTTCTTCAGTAAGAAGTTACATCTTAAAATCATTAGTTGTAACTTTAGATATTTCAGAAATATTTATTTTTTATGTAAATACAGTAAAAATGCTCTAAGTTATTTAGCTTAAATACATGTAAATATATTATTCTCACATGGATGTAACCATGTTTATGTCGCAATGCATTCTGGGTAAATGAAGTGTGCTGTAGGTGTCACTACTAGGTGTCTTTTGTTAAAAAGACCTAAATGACGTTTTCCCTTTCCCAAAATAATAAACGTACTAAAATATAATGTGTTAAAGGTTAATAATGTATTTCCTGAGAAAATAAATGCCTTAAAATCCTTTCTTTTATCAGTCGTCTGTGCCAGATCCTACGCTACTTCCAGTGGATAACTTTTTCGGCTTTGGATTTAAACATTTTTTTTTTTTTTTGAGTTTTATGTTTTCGTTTCGTTTTAACCTTATGCTATATAGTGCGTAATCTAAATAAATAAATAAATAAAATTCAGATAAACATGGTTTAATCAGATTTTGCTCTGACCATGCCTGATGACGTCAGAGAAGCAGTTTAACGAAGAAAATCTAAAAAGCATAAAATTTGTCTCACAAAAATCATAAAACATTTTTTTAAAGATGTGTATTAGCATTTTTTTGTGAGTTAAGGATAGAAATAAGTAGTAGTAGTAGTAGTTTTAGTACCATCATTACATTATGTATGGTCACCCGGATTTATATCTGTTCGTGTTAAAAGCTTTTTAGTTTGAACTGTTGAAATTGAATATTGTGTAGAAATCCTCTCACACCTTGACAATTTATCCAGTGTATGACTGAGGTATGAAAAATCTGGCAAAAAACGCTGGCATACGTTTGATAAGTTATGAGTACGTTTTGTATAAGTTATGAGCATGCTGAAACACTCTGGCACACGTCAACATACAGCAATTAAGTAGAGAAATTTTGAGCATGCTCAATGCTGAAGAGTAAGTGAAGGTGAGTGTGATGGATCCTCCCTCCAATCACGCCCACGACCAACAGACTTCCTAGCAGACATTATGCTGAATCTGCCACGACTGAAAACCTTCTTTCTTTCTTTGTCTCCCTCAGGAGGGCCTGAAGGGAGCAGCTTTAACTGATGCAGCGTAATGGGCATTACACTTGCGTGTGTTATGCATAAGTTAGGATGTCGTTGGAAATAAGTCTTGGACTCATTGTGAATACTCCATGTATACGCCCAAAATTGAACAAATGCCTGCGTTTTAGGAGATTCTGGGACGTCGGGCATAAGCTATCTAAATCAGCAAGGTGTGACAGGGCCCTTATATAATAAACAGTAGATCACAAGCAGATTACTTTGTTTTTTTTAAACAGATATTTCATGAAAGTTCATGAAAACTTTGAGGCAGAAACGCAGTTTGGCATTGTCAAAATTTACAACAGTCAAATACAGTCCGGAAAAACTAACCTTCCCATGTTTACTCTGTAGGGTCTAGTCTAGTAGGACCTATCTGCATCATCAACCCAGCATGCATTGCGCAGGTGAAAATGGCGACCTCAATGGGGAAAAAATATGAGAAAGAATATTAAATTTTTGAATCAATTATGAGTTTTTACACATCCCATACAGCAACTTTTAAATTAATAGGAAAATTACAATATATTAGAGCCAACATGTTAAACAAGCATTGGATCCTTTTAAACAATTTGATAAAGGCCAGAGGATGATGTCATGGCTTTTTAAGCTTGTGATAGGTGAAGTGGTTTCTGGATGAATTTAAGGCAATATCCTCAATGCTGTCACACTTGTGACTTCATGGAAACATTAGAAAAAAAAATCAGGAAGATATCTTCATGGAAGTTTATATCTGACCTTCATATGTCTAGCTCAAGCTTTGAAACAGTATATTAAAGTGGTAAGCTGCCATATTTGTCTGTGTAGAAAAGTTAGAATAAACACTTTTTCCAAGGGTTTGGTTGTTCCTGAGGGAGATGGATATTATCCACCAACGAGGAACAAGTTTTCATTAAAACTGTGGTAATCAACCCCAGAACCAAATAAAGTTCCTAATAGAGCTGAAAGACCTCAATAGGCTGTTAAAGCAACATAAAAGGCAATAATGTCGTTTTCCACAACACAGCCTTCATTTCTGTGGTTTGATGAAACTATGCAGTAAATTTTATTCATTATTGTTGCAAACAAAGAAAGTTTTGTAAAATAAAATATGAAAGAAAGCTACCCAGAAATAAAACTTTAAAACATTTATTAATAAAAAAAAAAAATAAAGTTTTGATGTTACTTTAATTTTCTTTTTCACAGAAAATAAAATAAAATTATGAATTTTAGTCTTTTCAATTTGTATTTTACACATCCCATTCTCTTCACTACTGGGGGTAGGCTTTCCTCTGGAGTGAGGAGCGATGACACATTTCTATTGGTCTGCATGAACGTTACATTGGTGCATGAACATTGCATTGGTCTTGAAGTGAAGAGAATGTGATCTGTTCAATACCATTTGAAAGGAATGCTATTTGTAAAACTATCTGCAAAACAGACATTTGAAGAAAAAAAAGATAAATCAATAAAAAACAAAAGTAAGATCTTTGGCTATAATAATCATTTGTTTTGAAAGAAAAAAGAAAGATTCCTGAAAGCCTGAGAACAGCATCTGTATGATAAAGTATAGAGATGGTTGCATGGTAGTGGATGTTTTACTGCAGGAGGGAGTGGTGCACTGAAATAAATGATAACATCATCATCATGATATATATATTCATACATATATGAATATATATAGAACAATAGGGAACAGAAGATGAGGTGCTAGAGGTTCCATCATGGTAGGATAATCCCCTGTACCACCAACACTAACATAACCAAAGTGGTGGATATCAGGAAATCCAACCAATGGCACAGAGGCACTCATCAAGGCTGCACTGCACCTGTCCCTGAGCATCAGAGCAATAGAGGCCCAGATCTACCAAACTAGATAAAACCTAAGGTGCAGATTGTGCAAAGGGACCCCTGAGACAACCCAGCACATAACTGCAGGGTGTAAGATGCTGGCAGGGAAAGCTTACATAGAGTGCCATAACCAAGTGGATGGAAAAGTATACAGGAACATCTGTGCAGAGTATGGGCTGGAAATCCCAAGGTCAAAGTGGGAAACACCTCCAACGGTGGTAGAAAATGACTGAGCCAAGATCCTGTGGGACTTCCAGATACAGACGGACTGAATGTTAATGGCAAACCAACCGGACATTGTGGTGGTGAACAAAAAGCAGAGGAAGGCCATTGTGGTTGACATAGTAATACCAAGCGACTGCAACATCAGGAAAAAAGAACATGAAAAACTAGAAAATATATATATATACTATTTTATGGCCTGTAATTCTTAATGTAATACAGCTATTACAAGAGCTTGTTGAAGAGTAGCCTAAACGCATCATGCAGGGAAGCTTTAAACTGAAATGTTAAATAAGGGATAAAGATGTTCTGGTTGCGATGTAGAGATTGTATGAATCAACAAAAGGACTAAAAACTAAAAAGCTCTTCTGGTGCCTGAGATCATTTCTGAAGTTTAAAAGATTCCCACGAATAGTAATTAAAAAACTCATGTTGTAGATCAAGATCACCACTTTGTTTTAAAGGGATTGTTTCACTATTTCCCCTTTTCATTTATTTATTTTTTGTTATATTTTAAATACAATTTCACTTTGACTTTATTTTATCTTACTTCATATGTTTGTTTCACACAGAAAAATTATAGTTATCCTGAAATGGTTTGTAAAAGTCTAGATTTAATTCACCTGAATTGGACATGGCAGAGAAATCCTACAGTTTTGAAACAACTTAATCATCAGTTTTATGATATCTAAACTCAAATCTCTGTGCCCCTGTTGGAACATTTTGGAGACATTTTGTTTTAGATAAATTCATCCATTCTTTGCCGACTTGTTTTTAATTTGTTTGATCTGAAGGTGTGGTGAGTTAGTGATCCCATGGGGGTCACTAACTCACCATGTGCTTTCAGAGGTGCTTGGTGAATTTCTCCAGCAAACTTCTGCATCTTTGCCTCCCAGGTGACTCAGCAGATGTCTGCAGATCAGATGTGTTCTATTGTCTGCCAACGAGAACTATAAATTTAGTCGTCTGTGTCATTTGTAAAAAAAAACAGATGGAACGAATGAGGTGAATAAAAGAAAACCAAAAAAAAACGTCACGGGGCCAAGACTTCTCTATTAAGCTCTTGTATGCGTGTGCAGTGAATGGTTTCCAAATGTCTTCTATACATTTGATTTCTTTCTTTACCATCTTTTTATTCGGCAGTGTCCAGATTATGAAAGATTTAAGATTTAATCTAATCAAGATGCTCATTACTGTAAAGGCTTTCTAGATGTTTTCAAGCAGCATGCTTTTACTTTATGAACCTTAATTCTGTCTGAACTATTCTGTGTTCCACTGTTTTCAGAGTCGAGCATTTTTTTCACCTTTCTAGAATATGAATACAATAAATCACATCACTTCCTTCTGTCTAATTTTGCTCTTTTTTTCTGGTTAAAATTTTGTAAACAACCAACAACTTCCACCTTGAGCTAAATAAAGACTGAACTCAGGTACATTGGCTTGGATCATAGGTATCAAAGAAGAAAAGAAGCGGCTGGATGACATGGAGTGATTGAAGAGATGCAAAACATTAAACATGAAAATAAACTTGAGAGCAAAAAGAGAACTAACTAATGGTTACATGAAAAATGAACTAATGTGGCAAGACCTACCTAGAAAAACATTTAACAGCCTCGAGGAAAAACCAAAGACTTAAGGAAAAACTCCTAACTGTAAAGATTTTAAAAAGTAAACAATAAAACGAGATAAAGCTTGCAATATAAATAAAAGAATAATGTACAAAAGGAAATAAAAGACTCAAAGTTCCATACGCTAGATAATCCATCCATCCATCCATCCATGGGTCTGTTTCACAACCTCTCTTTCTGTTACCGTAGCAACATTCTCTCTAGGGTTAACCTGGTCGGGAGCAGGTTTTGTTCAGTAAAATCAGTGTCTAATGTCTACGCTCTCCTTAAAAACAAACCCTTTGTGATATTTCCTGATTTACTCTGGAGATTTCTGCCATAATTTAGTGAGAACAAAGAAAGGAAATAATTACCTATGTCCATTAGAGACATTAGGTGTTAAAAACACAAACAGCATGTCCTTTGGATGTGGCTCTGATTAAATGAGCAGCATTAATTAAATATTTTTTAAGGAGAGGGTTCTCAGGCTGTCCTTTATATTCAGAAATTATTATGAGCGCTACAGTTTCACCTCACAATCCATCATGAATATCCACAACCTTATCCGCCCTCACATGTTTAGCCTTAACTTCTTTAACAGGGATTTAACAGAACTTTAAAGAGAAAATTGACGTGTGATAACAGCATTATAGAAAGTAAATGCACAGTCAAACAGCCATTTAGTATTTACTATGTAATGTGAAACAGGATCAAAATGAGGAGGAACCCCATGAGATGATGCACAGGTCCTACCTGTTAGAACGAACATTTTTTTATTCCATCTTCACCTGCTGACAGGTGCGCTTCTACCAGCTGAGATTGAGCCAAAATATAATACATTGATCCCCTGCCATTCAACCCCCCCCACCCCCCATGTTATCATGATTAGAAAAGTCTATGACAGGCTGTTTTCATGTGATTTAATTTGACTGATTATGTATTTTTGATATCTGAAATAATTAAATGTTTTCCTTGTCAAAATGAACATTTCAAACAAATAACGTCTCTTAATATCGAAAATAGACATATGGGATGTCTAGAAATAAATCACAGATCTCCTTATTCCTATTGGTACAGATCATGACTGTATTATTTTTATTAGCAAAAAGTGTATTTCAGATATCATAAATACAAATTCGGCCAAGCTGAATTTTATAAATAGTATTTATAAAATGATCTGAATCACTTTTCTAGTAATATAATACTTAATTTTTAATAGTAAAATGTAGTTTTTTTTACTTTCTGAAATTTAGTTTCTGCTGGCAAAACAATAAAACCTCCATTTGTATAGCTCTGCCAAAAGGTGGGTAGAGTAGCCAAAAATGGTACTTAGTAAGAGTAGCACTACTTCATTAAATTTTTACTCCGGTAAAAGTAACCATTAACGAAAATATTCAAGTAAGAGTAAAAGAGTACATGGTAAAAAAGCTACTAGAATACTAAATTATTGAGTAACTTATTAATTTACGACCAATGATCAAATATTTATTAAGTTATAAGGCTTACAAAAATTAATAGTTGTAGTATGTAAGAACAGGTTAATTTACAGTATACTGTTTATTGTATTTTCACTAAACCCCCAGATGACACAGCAAATGGGAAAAAAAATTAACCAATGAGCCTTGAGTACAGAAAATAAGAAAATGAGTCTCTTAATGGTGCATATTTGTTTAGAACACGCTTTTCATTTTTCACAATGGATGGAGTATCCAGATATTTTATTTAAGTAAGAGTAGTGATACTTTATTATAATCTATATATACACTTTTATACATATATATAAAAGAAAAAATGACAATAGTTTTCTTTAAAAGGAGGATGTTTTCAAAAGAGGACGTACCTGCTCCAAGTCTGAGATCCATATGGGGTTTAGCACTCATTGACTCAACCACTGGCTTAAATAAGGAGAGTAGTTAGTCATTGCTATGTGCTATATATAGCCTGATTTTCTTGTAGTATTTTAAATTCTTATAAATTCAAAATATAATGCCTTATTTTTAAATGAAATAAATATATTTAAGTCTTAATGGCCTGTTGATAATAAAAAAATGAATTGTTGGTAAAAAAGAGGTACAAACAAAAAATAAAATCTTCTCAAAACAGTAATGATCAGACCAGAATTGACCTGAACAAAGTGAAGGAATAAAGTATGATCTGTAGTTACAGCTTAAAAGAAAAATATTATGAAGAGCGCAGTGATGCCCTGTTTATTGATTAAGTTAATTTTGAGAATAAGACAAAGGTATTCAGTAAGTTTAATCTTTTAAAACCTTTTTGAGAAAACGCACTCAGGAAGCAACATTTAAAGACACATTAAACAGATTCTTTCAGGAAAGAATGAAGCAATAAAAAGAGGCTGGAAAGTTCAGATCAAAATTTCTTCAATAGAGTTTTCTCTTGTATTTATATTTTACAAATTAAACTTTATAATGAGAAAGCATGTCTCCATGGTAACATAGTTAGCTTTAATTCAAAGATCTTCATTAGTGTCCTTGAAGTGGATCACAAAGTCCCGCACACCTGTACAAAGTCATGTGACCAAGGAACTCCTCGCCTGATGTCGATGTGATTCACACACAGCGGCTCCTCGTGCCTGAGAGAGGAATAAAACACACAATCCTAAAACAAACAAAGAAAAAAAGCCGACCAAAAACTTTTTCTACAAGTACAATTATAAAAACATAATTCCTCAGGATTGCACTGCATGAATGTTTTGAGATGTTTTTACTCTTTTACTGTGAACATTGGGTTTTTCCAATAATTAGTACCCTGGCTGAGCCTCTTCTAATGCAACTCCAGATAAATACAATTCCCCCTCTCTATTGACTGAACAGGTAAATGAGTTTTGCGGTAAGATAACTGCCAAATAAAAACACACATCTCGATATCTATATTTTTGAATTAAAGTCCAAAATTACTCTACGTTAAAAAAAATGTATTCCCAATTTTGTGATTGATAGCCTACAAAAATTTTGATGAATTTTCCTAGTGAATATTTGATTCCTATTAATAAATTTGTACTGGTACAGTATATTTGTGAGTCCTACCTTGTAATAGTTACTTAAATTGTTGTGATTCCTCATAGTAGGTGAATCATTTTTTACTCTAAGTTTGGTGATCTCTACTTATACATTTGTGATTTTACTCATAATTCTGTGATTCCTACCAGTAAATTTGAAAATTTCATTCATCAATTTGTAATTACTACTTGTAAAATTGTGAATAAGTTGTACTTATAAATTTTGTAAATCTACTGTTGCAAAGTTGTAACTTTTATTCTCATAGATGAAGGTTTGAGGTCACTTTTATCTATGGGCGGATAAAAAGTAACAAATACATTTTTTTTTCTGTACATTTGACTTTCATATATGAATTTAGTTATACATACATATGTTTTAAGCTCAGTTACCAACTTATTTATGTGGTAAGATAGTATTAGAAAAATCAAATGTACAACCAGTAGTGTGTTACCACCCTCTGATGCCATGGCGCCCTGGGCAATGAGCCATCCTGATCTTATGAACCCACAACTGATTGTAAATGTATTTCTTCTACTCTGTGTTTATATCAGTGACAGCTGAAATGACCAAAACTAGTGTTTGAGATAATTAGGTTCAGGTTGTAGCATCTCCAAATTTGTCCTTTAGGCATCGCTGGGAGGAAGGCATCTCAACAGATTAGACTTTTTGACCAAGTTATGCACAGTTTGACATGTAACACATATAATAGTGTTCTCTGTTTTATTTTAAGATATGTATCAAAAACAAATGTGTGAGATTTGACTGTGAGAGAATTGCTAAAAGGGAATTCCTCAAGCAGCTTGCTGACTGTGAGCTTACCGGGGTTGGGGGAGCTCTGAGACGCAGACAGACTTGATGTGGATGTCTCCCTGCCTGTAGAGTCGAGCTCCTGTGTTTTTCAGTCTGATGGAACTGATCTCGCACAGGGCGGCAGGGTGAGCCAACACTTTCTGATACACCGTCACATCAGTCTGACTGCAGGAAACAGGACATGTTCAGGTAACATTGCAACAAGACAGAGAAAACACTTGACAATGGTTAATCTACTTCGCACCCATAAGGTGCGAGGAGCATCAATTTTTCCCAAAGAGGTATTCAGATAACATTAACCAAAAGGAATAGTTTTAAAACAATACAAAGTAACTTTTAACCTTCATAAAATATTTTCATACAACTAGTAGAATGAAACCTCTGTCATGACCTCTGTATCTCTTTCACTGACACTGAGCAACTTTGAGGAGGGTGACAGTATCCCTGCAACACAAAAACAACTACAAATGTGCAGACTGTTGTACGGCATACGCAGCACTCAACTTGAGGGTGGATGAGGGGGGGATGGCATCCCCCTTCTTAAAAAAAAAATCTTAAAATCATCCCCCTTCTTAAATGACCCTCCCCCCATGACATTTTTTTTTTTACTGAATGTGTACAATTTCTACTATGTATTAACAGTAATGGCAATAATATTGCCCTTTCAACATTTGGGCTGTGGGCTTAGGAGTAGACTGAGCAAAATAAATAAAATCAAAGTGGCGGCCTACCATGACTATGAAGCTGATCCCATTAGGAAATGTTTCCTCTGCATTAGTCCCTAACTATGCAGGGGCAGTGATAGCCATGCTAGTCCCGTTCTACTGTAAGGTCCCTTGGTCAAGGTCAATGACCGGCGTACCTGACATATTACAACCATACCATGCATATTGCTCTAGGTTAATACACTATGTTAGTTAGGCTACGTATGCTTCCAAAAAAAAATCCACCACCCCCCCTTTTTTTTCCCCTATCAACTATACTCTCATGCATACGTCCCCCTTTCCCCATGCGTTGTAAAGACGGAAGTTGATGCAGCTAAATTTCTCTGAGAACCTGTGGGTGTGTTCGGATCCAGCAGCTGCGTTCTCTGAAGGACCCAGTGCAGGTAGGCTGTGAGGAGGAGGAGGTCAGATGATTTCGGCTAGAGGTTCAAACAGGTCTAGCCTTCACCAGCTGTCACCACTCCTCACTAAGCGTAACCTCTGTCACCTAGCAACTGCGACAGCTGACTCACAGAGCAGGTAAAGAAAGGATGCCAAGCTTCTCATTACTGTCCTGTTCAATGATTTCATGTCTGAGGAGCTTCAGCAGCAGTACCATCATCACAAATATTAGATTTAGAGTCCCCACACTGCATTGGATTCGGTGCTTACAAAACCAAAGATTACCCGCCACATATCGGACTCAATGACCATTTAAATTAAGTGCTTTCATTAATTTAAGATGAAACTATTGACATACTTGTATTATATTTAACTGCACTTACAATATTCACCACTGTTCGCACAGGGCAGCCAGCCAGGGGCGGCATACAGTATGGGAGGGGGAGTTAAGAAGATTCTAAGGGCCCTTTACTTAGGGGGGCCCAAAAGAAGAAAAGATTTGTCCCACTATATTTTTCAAATATAAAAAGAAAATCGAGCAGTGGAATAAATACTCTTTTTGTTCACACAAACACAATTTATGAGACCTGCCTTTATTCCCCCCCTTGAAATTGCAATAAATGGTTTGGTCCATAGGTCCTGCATGCTGCATCAGATCCCCTGTTCTGTCACAACACTGGCAGTTTGCTTGTACTGGGGCTTAAACACCACGTGCACATTATTTGACATAGTGATAACACATTAAACAAATTTACAACAAAAATATAAATCAGCAGTGTGGAAAAATGGCCCCAAAGTCTGGGTTTCAAAAAGGAAGAGAAAGAAAGCAGACCCAGTTTAAAAAAAAAGATTTTTACCTGAATAGTTCAAATTAATGAATATGGAGCTGTTAAGTAAAATAAAAGAACTATCTGCTGGATACAACTAGTTAA